GGACGTCATCACCTTGGTTCTGATAATATTCTAATGACTCAAGATTTAGTTCCACTTCCTGGCGTTGTTTCAGTCGTATTTTTATCTTGGACTCCTCTACGGATTTCTTCCATATACCTAGTTCATGCTGTGACTTGAGCAATTCTTCCAATGTAGCTAGATTGTAGCTGAAGAACTTCGAGTCAAAGTCCATGTTGGTCAAGTTCTCATCATCTAACAAGAACTTTAAATACTCTTGAGTTTGTGATAAAATATTATTTATGGATTCTTTTATTGTTTGATCAACTTTAGTTTGCAATCGAGCAGATCTTTCAAAGTCTTTTACCAAGCTTTGATTCAACGGGAAATACTGAGGTAAATCTATGCTGCCAGTAATTACTGGTTGTTCTTGAGGCACATTGTTTTTCGATATGCTTTCGGAATCCATGATAGAATGATAATTCCTTAATTTTTTAGTTCTATTTTTTTCTGAAAAATCCAAAATCATACGCGCAAGACTTGATTTCTACTGTACTAATCTACACTAGTAATTTACTGCTAGTAACAGTAATTTTACTAGTAAAGTCTACACTTAAATTTAGTAAAATGATACCCAATTTTTATTTGCGATGCAAAACAAAAAGTAACTAATAATAATATATAGAAAGAACTGAAATGACAATATTTTTTAGGCTAGAGACACCTTGTACTTAAAAGACTTCACCTTGGTCAAACATGGCGTCAGCGACCTTGATGAAACCAGTAATGTTAGCACCCTTCAATAAAGAAGGTAAATCTTCTGCATCCTTTTCAGCAGAGTATTTAGCAGCAGTAGCGTAACAGTTATCAAAACAAGTGTACATGATGTTCTTCAACTTTTCGTCGACTTCTTCAGCAGCCCAAGTAACTCTTTGGGAGTTTTGTGCCATTTCTAAACCAGAGACAGCAACACCACCACAGTTGGCAGCCTTACCTGGAGCGTACCATACACCCTTAGATCTGTTGGCTTCAAAAACATCGATAGCTTCCTTGGTAGAACCCATATTGGAACCTTCAGCGACGAACTTACAGCCAGCTTCTACTAAAGCCTTAGCTTCTTCACCAGAAACTTCGTTTTGAGTAGCAGATGGTAAAGCAACGTCCACTTGGCCACAGTGGGTCCATGGACGAACACCAGCGATATATTGAACTTCGTTAGAACCGGAGAAGAGAGATGCGGATTCCCTGGTAATTTCTTCCAAGGTCTTGAAGTGGACCTTTGCTGCAGCAATGGCCTTGATTTGGTCTGGAGTAATACCAGTTTGGGAAATGATACAACCCTTGGAGTCGGATAAGGAAACAACGGTAGAACCTAACTCAATAACCTTTAAGGCGGCGTATTGAGCAACGTTACCTGAACCAGAGATGGCAACTCTCTTACCCTTGAAGGATTCCTTACCACCAGTGGCCTTTTCAATCATCTTTTCGACGAAGTAGACAACACCGTAACCGGTAGCTTCAGGACGGATTAAAGATCCACCCCAGCTTAAACCCTTACCGGTCAAAATACCAGACCAGTTGTTTTGCATTTGCTTGTAAGCACCGAACATGTAACCAACTTCACGGCTACCAACACCAATATCACCAGCTGGAACATCGGTGTCACTGCCAATGTATCTGGCCAATTGTCTCATAAAAGCAACACAGAATCTTCTGATTTCAGAGTCGGTTCTACCCTTTGGGTTGAAGTCACAACCACCTTTACCACCACCCATGGATAAACCGGTCAAAGCGTTCTTAAAGATTTGTTCGAAACCCAAAAACTTCAAGATCGACAAGTTGACAGATGGATGGAATCTTAAACCACCCTTGAATGGACCTAAGGCCGAGTTGAATTGCACTCTGTAACCGTTGTTAACTTCAACGTCACCATTGTCGTTTTCCCATGCAACTCTGAATTGGATAATTCTTTCTGGGACCGAAACAACTGGAATAACCTTCTTGTATTCTGGTTTCTCGGTAAATAAAGTAGAGTCTTCTAAGGCAGAAACTAATTCATTGTAAGCTTGTTGAAATTCTGGTTCGTGTGGTAAGACCATTTTGTTGACTGTTGTTATAATATGCCGAGATAGACGATACTTTAGAAAAATCTACATGTCAAATTTCTACCTGATTCCCACCAGTATTTATATATTATCCCCGGAGTCATAACTTACGTACTTAAAATTTTCAACCATGCTGCAATTTCTGATTGTAGCCCTTGATGATTCAACCTTTCTATTTCAATCAAATCTCCATCCAATAAAATGAAGTTCCGAAGATTCGCCTGTAGCGGAGTTTACACAAAATGCACGGATGACTTCAAAGAATTGTTCAATTGCCTTTTTCTTCCGAGTCACAGGATTCGATGATCAACGGTTGAATCAGCATGATTGGGTGGATATGGATTATGTAATCTTCTTATCAGTGCCAAATCAACGGGTTCAAAGTCATCCAATCTTCGGAGAGTACAGGAAGCGAGCAAATAGCTTGGTACGTAGATTGCGGAATGCTGAGAGTGGGCCGAGAGAAAGGCTACGACGGATTAGACGAAGATATGGGTAGTGGACAATTGGTAGTATAAGATCGGTATACTGGTTGAGGATTCAGGGGCACTGTCGACGGACTAAGTATTTGCCATGGAAGCGTAAGTAGGGAACGAACAGGCCAAATAGGTGCAAACCACAAAACGATCACGAAGCAAGCAAAACGGCAGATTGCGGATGGGACCGAATGATCGGTGTATGGGTGTATGGGTGTATGGATCTTTGTGCACAGTCGGGTGCGAACGTTTACTGGTGCAACCGAATATTTTTGACGGCGTCTGCCGAGGGAACAGGGGGGAGCAGAGGGCCCCTAATAGGGCAGAGCGATCGTTATCTGTTATCGCATGGACACGTTACCTCTTAGTCGTACCCCCAAAATGAGTCGCCGGTGAAGGGAAGGTCGTAGTGGGGGTGAAAGGGGAACTATGGGGGGGACCATGGACTACAACTGGGGGAACTAACAAATAATAAATTACTATATACAAACTATTCGTTAGTAGGCTTATCGATTGGTTTATCGGACGATTTTGCGGCCAACAACAGGACATCAAACACCTTCATTCTGGCTGTTACTCGGTCGTCTGTCACCAATTCCTGAACCCATTCGGAATTCTTTTCTTTACCGGTAGCTACCCACTTTTTAGGCCATTCCAATTCCTCTTCTTTGGCCATAAACTGGTCCTTGTAGACAAATGGTCTCGACACGTTTTGCACGACGACAGAGGTTCTACAACCATAGTCGTCGGCAACATTTCTCTTCGTGAAAAAGCGGTAAATCTTACGGTGAGTGTTCAAAAATCCAGACACTATGGGTAAGGGAAACACGTAAACGGGTTGTTCGAATATCACTGGAACGTTCTTCTTATTCTTGATGAGGGTTACGTTCTGGAACTCTGGCGCGTACGTTGCGTTAGGATATTCGTCTGGGGTAATGAATGGTTTGGGTACTGGTTTTTCGTTGTCTTCTTCGTCTGCATTTGGAGTCTTTTCTTCTGTCTCTGATGGAGTTTCGGGTACGGCGCCCTGTTCATTTACACTGTCAGCTGGTACCGCGTCTTGTTCATTGGCACTGCCCGCAGGTAAGACGTCAGTTGGCAACACTGGCAATTCGACCACTGCTTTGGATTCATTATCATTGTGCGCAGTCTCAGGTTCGATTTCAGTCACTTGAGCATCAACTTCCGTAATTGTCTTAACCTCTTCTGGTGCTTCCAATGGTCCTAATAACCCTTCATGGACCCCAGTCATATATTCTTTGTATGCCCCTCTTCCGATACAAATAACTCCACCAGCTTCCATTGGGTTCAATTCATCGTCTCTCTTAGCATCAATTGGTTCGTTCAAGTAGTAAAACCCTAATACGTCTTTAGGTGAGTATAAGTCATTACTGTTCACTAGAGCTTCATCCTCTTTGGAATTACTTTGAAATTTCAGAGTGAAAAAATTTGGCACGTCCTTCTTGAAAAACTTCGTCCATGACGCATCATATTGCTTTTGTTTAGTTTCTTCCTGTGCCTTTTTAGCGTTTTCATTCGTTTCGATTCTCAATTCTCTAATTCTCTCTGCGACTGCAGCCCTGATGTCTCCCTGTCTATTCTCCGTGAAAACATCAAAATCAATGGCACTAGCATTTAATAAGGGCTTGACATACTTCCTGAAATAAATCATCGATGAATCTAAATAATCATTCGGTGGTGGTGCTATAAAAACCGATAGTTTTCTTGGAATTCTATCGGTTCTGTATGCTTCTTCTCCCAAAGGTACAAATTTCTCCATCCATTTCTTTCTTATTTGTTTTTGTTGATATCTGTCATATGCTACACCTCCACCAACACTCGCAAGCAAAGTCCAAAAAATCATCCAATTCCGTGATGGTAACGATATTTTTGGAATTCCCATCATTCTTAATGCTGGGTTTGACCATCCTTTTTTTACAGGTGGCTTGTTCACTTTTTCTGCTCCTTCAACTTTCGGAGTTGAACCTTTAGATGGTTCTGGGTTCTCTGACATATCGCCTAATGCTTTATGTCTGGAAACTTATGCTATTGTATCTCTGATATCTTCATGTAATATATTGAATCGTCGATGAGAGTTGAATTAAATTGTAAGTCGTGTGATTCCTCAAAAAGTTTTTTTTGGTCTTTTTCGCAACTAGATCACAAAGGCTACTCTTAGTATATACTATGGAGTTACTATCATTCAATACTATATGTTGGTAAATCTGCTAATTTTTTCATTGCATGAAAATACGAAAGCATTAAATTTTTATTGTGTAAATATGGGACATTATATCCTACGGTAAGATCATAAAAGATTTGTCAATTATGAAAATTTTAGAAATTTGTACTAAATATAATAAAATAGAATCACTTGTAGAAACTTCGTAAAAATTAACAAATGTATTTTAAACCACACCACGAGTATTATTGAGAATGGAAAGACATCTAAAAGTATATACTACTTTCTCAAATATACTTGTAATTCACTGTATAAATCATCATGGGTCAAATTCTTACCGATGAATACTAGTTTATTTTGAGTGATTCCATCGACTAGTCTACCACCTTCAATGATATCATATGTCTCTCTAACACCTTGGATCACTCTTACATCAAGTTGTTCGTTTGTGCTTTTGTTTACCAAAATTCCCTTGACTCTATGAATTTCGATAGGATTGTTGTTAGCTTTGTTTTCCCAGAGCACATATTGAAGAAAAGACTCTACCTTATTGAATTCGCCGGTTTCGAAAAAAGGAAATGTTATAGTCACGGTGGCGATTCTGTCATCATGATAGGTCGAGTTGTTCATGTAATTTATCGATTCTGTTAACTTTTCAGTGTTTGCCTCAAATGCATGCAAATCCAAGATCTTTTCAAGATCGATATCACCAAAGCTTGTTGTATGAATGGGTGTACTGGAGTTAATTCCTTTCACTTTACCTACAATAGCTTGGATTTTATCCTCATATGATTCTTTTTCCAATGTATCTACTTTATTTATTAGGATTGTATCCGCAAGGGCAATCTGTAAATGAGCCGTGGTCAAGCCTTCCTCTAGCTTTTTTCTTTCATCTTCGAGCTCTTCCTCTGTAAGATCATCAGCATTAACACTCTGACTTACTTTTAAGTGCTTATTCGCTCTATGCCAATGTCCACCAACATCGTCCAAACACTTAAGAATGTTTTGTGCATCCAAGACAGTAACGACTCCATCTATATAAACGTTCGATGATAGTCCTTCATCCATCCAAAACATCTTGGCTATTGGCGCCGGATCAGCGATTCCTGTAGTTTCTAACAAAATGTAATCAATTTTTCCTCTGGAGTTTTCAATCAACTGCTCTATAGCAAGAACACCGTTATCCTTTACTGTACAACAAAGACATCCATTACCCAAATCGAGCCATTCTTGAACCGATTCATTTTTTTCAGTATCCTTGACCGTGATAGCCTTTTCGATTGCTGATGAGTCTCCAAACTCATTCAAAATTATCGCCAACCTCTTCTTTGAATTTTTACCAATCATCTCCAATAGAGTCGATTTACCAGAACCTAAATATCCAGTGATAATTGTAATCGGGATCTTCGTCTTCTCATCGGTGATATCAAGTTCCTTTACTTGATCCACAGGCGGTGAAACCGATTTACCTACTGCTCCAAGTTTATTACCATTCGATCCTTTAGTAATCTGATTGCCGTTATCAGGCAATTCCTCAACCAAATCTGGTATATCATCCATGTTTCCTAGTATATTTAAAATTTGTCATTAAATTGTATCTATTGCAAAGATTCCATTTCAAACCGTCGCAGTAGAGCTCAAGACAATCAAATTTTAATATTTGTAAATTATATTTAGAGACTGTTATTGCATATCTACACACAATTGACAATGTATAAGTATAATAAGTTACTAGATATAATCCTCTTGGCAATAATTGTATATCATTTGCTAATATCACCTTTTTCTAAGGTTGAAGAGTCTTTTAACATTCAAGCAATTCATGACATTATTAACTATGGGGTATTTCCGCAGGAGAACATCTCATACAACTACGACCATAACAATTTTCCTGGGTCGGTGCCTAGGACTTTCGTTGGAAGTTTAGCAATTGCCGGTATTGTCAAGGTTATTCAATCGTTCACATCATTAATTGGTCTTGATAATATAATATTCAAGGATCAGAGCCAACTTAATCTTCAGATTCTTGTGCGGTGTGTATTAGGTTTTGCTAACGGGTTTGCATTTATGAAGATACGTGATAGTATCAATCAAATAACATTGCGTGATAGAATCTCGAAACGGAGAGGTTTAATTGGATTTTGGTTCATGATATTGCTTATTTCACAATTTCACATATTATACTATTCGTCTCGTACGTTACCAAATTTTATTGCATTACCATTAGTATCATATGCAATCAGTAAAATTATCGTTGGCGATATGTCTGGTTTGACGTGGTTGGCTTTTACAGGTATAGTATTTCGGTTAGAAATTGGGTTGTTTGGGGTCATTATTGCGCTAGTTTCGTCCACCATTTTCCGTCAGAGTAATATACTTCTAAATTTGATTATGTTATGCGTTGGCACTATTGTTGGACTTATAACCACATTTACTATCGATTCATACTTTTGGGGCTATTGGCTTGTTCCTGAATTAGTCTCATTCAAATTCAATATTATTTCTGGTAAATCAGCCGAATGGGGCACCGAGCCATGGGTAGCGTATTTCAACAAATATATTTTTCAATTATTCAGACCTCCAATTATTTTGATACTTGCGTTACCAGGGATTATGCATGATCCAGCGGATGATAAGATTTCTACTGCCTCCATCAATAAGACACCAAATGAGAAAAAAATTGAAGTGACCCATCCCGCTAAGAATTCTTTACGTATTTTGTTTGTTTCTTCGTTATTGTTTGTTGTTGCCATGTCATTGCAACCTCATAAGGAATGGAGATTTATAATCTATATTGCGCCTGTTTTGACTTTACTAGCAGCTAATGGATTTGCTAATATATCTATTCGGTGGTCTACATCAATTTTCAATAAGCTTTTAATATTAATCTGTATTGCTTTTATAGCAATTGGAATATTATTATCAATTGTTATGGGATACATCTCTAGCTTTAATTATCCAGGAGGAGATGCATTATTATTTGTTAATAATTATGCAAGTAGCAATCATGATAAGGAATTTCTCGTACATATGGACGTTGCATCTTGTATGTCCGGTATCAATAGATTTGGGGAAATTCATAATAATTCAGCAATAACATATGATAAGACTGAAGATGAATTTGACTTGTTGACTATCTGGAATGACATTGATATTTTAATTACAGAAGTTAACTTGAATGAAATTGATACACTACATGCAAGCTCAAAACTTACTTATAATGCTGATAACTGGAAGATCATACACTCCTCTGACAAATATAATGGTATTTCGACAGTACCAGTAATTCAATTGATCAAAGAACAAAGGATGAACTCTTACACAATACCAGCCTTACTTACTCAGATTGCCGATGAATTCATACATATCAAGTTCAACACGATAAGGAACCTTATACAATCTTTGGTAATTAGAAGTAATTATTTATATGTTTATTTGAGGGTATCTCCTGATGAAGGGCTTGACGAACTAATCGAAGAATTAAAGGATCAAGTGTCTTATAAATTAAAAAAAAGTGACAACACTGATCCCAAAGAAGTTGATTTAAGTGGTTTATGAGAGGATGTAAATGATAAAATCAAACCTTGAATATTTAGAATAGCTTTATATGGTCTTATACAATTGCTGGAAATATATTCATGTATTTATCAAGTCAAAACCTATCTGTATCCTTAGTCGGTGAAATTTCAATAAGATTATTCTTTAATTTTTCTTTCAACTTCTTCACTGGCGAAAATCTTGGTTCATCAATGTCATCATCAATTGGAACAAAAATGGGGGTTATACGTCGCATTCTTTTGGCAGTTTCAATGATAGACTTTTCATCGTCATTAGCACCAGTACTTGGTATTTTTGACATACTAGCATCACCTTGATTAGACAAAAACAGGTCAGCCAATGGTACTTCTGCAATACTAAAATTTGGAGGTTTTGGCGGTAAAATAGGCTTATAGTCATTATACTTTGGGGGTGAAAGTCGAATAAATCTTGAACTGTTACGATCAATCAACAATTTGGACTCCAATGACGGATTGTTATCACCGCTTCGCCAATTTTCTCTTCTTGGAGTAGACGTAGCTCTGACTTTACCAAAATGCTTTCGTAACGCATCTATACGTTCTTGCTTTAGTCTCAACGTTGTTTCTTGTAATTTTGTTGGACTACCTCCAGCTGTGCCATTGGTAAAATGAGGCGTCAAAGGTACTCTATCAGGTTGAGGTTTTAGTGGGGTATACAAATAGCTGGTATTAGGATCATCATTGTTATTAGTTCTAATCATACTTCGGGTTAATGACTTTTTTGCCAATGGCGACTGATTATTGATCATACTGGTTTCCTTATCTACTAGAAATTTCCCGCTTATTTCCTTCTCGTCTTGTCGTTCTCTTAATTTATATATCCACAATTCTAAGATCGACCTTGACTTTACATTATGCCATCTTTTGGTGAACAATTCACAACTTTGATGGTGTCTTTCGATATTCTTAATATACTTCATTGACCAATTACTTAAAGTCTCTCGAAATTTGCGGAATTCTTTTTGACTTATAAAATCATCACTTAATTCATTCAAATATCGATTGACATGAAGGAATTGGTCGTACCATATAACTAAAAACTTTTTCGTTAGAAGTCTTGTTTCAAATTCTGCTGCACGAAGATTCAATTCCAACTTTCGATGTGTAGCGGATACCCAACTGTTAAGGAATACCTTCCTCAAGGATGATGTTCGGACAAATTTTTCACACTCAGCATCTAAATATGAAACAACCGTTTCTCTCTCATTATATTTATTGACCCACAAAATCAAGTATTTAGAAATACGATTTGGAATTACCATGCTATCGTTAAAGGACTTAATTTTAGAGTTTGCAGAATTTTGAAACCTTGAATCATAGCGCAGTTGCCAAGTACGCATTGCAACCAAACTAATTAAACGATCGTTAAATTTCAACCTATCTTTACCTGACATATCATCATGACTGAAATCTTCCATGATAGAAACAAAATCTTTCGTATATAGGTGAAGTTTCCCAATTATCTTGTTCAAGTATTTTCTTTGCAAATTTAAATCTGATACTTCGTTCATCAGTTCATTCTTTCTATAATTAAAAATCCATCTGACTAAAAATTTGAAATTCGTATTAGATATGTTACATTGAATAGCCCGTAATGCATTATCATTGTTTACCTTTGATTTATCACCAATCTGTTTTAAAGCTGCTGATTTAAGCTTCAATTCTGATTTAAATTGAAAGCATTTTAGTTGATAAGCTAATAACCATTTAGTAAAATATGTCCTTAACTTGTTTGAAGTCAGAGTCTCCTTTAAACAACAGCGGTCACAGCTATTAAAAGTGAAAGAGGTCATTGCAGATTCTAATTTCCATCTTTTGAAGCTCGTCTTCAACAAATTGCTTCTATGAAAGCTATTTGCAATACAATTAAGGTCTCTATATTCTTTCCAATGGAGAAAAGTATTTGATTTTATCGTACGGTGCTTTTCTTGAATACTATACTTGGCTTTTATTTGCAACTTAGTTTTCTTTAACCATTGCTCAGAGAAAAAGAACTCAAGAAAAATCTTATTATTTTTCAATCTAGTCTCATTATAGATGCATTGCATGTTCTTAGCATGCTTCAAAATTCTAAAGTACTTTGAAAATATAATATATCTCTCAACATTACCCAACCTATGTAATTTTTCACTCAAGGTCGAAGGAGGGATCAAATTATTTGCCACATCCAACTGAGTAATGGTTGGTAGTTCAAGTTCCTCATTTTTGCAAGAGAAGTTAGGTTCAATTTTTAAATTCATTTTAGCATACCAGTTCTTGATAATGAATTTTTTTAGGTTAACATTGTCTTTATAAAGCAGCTTCTCGTATTTATTAAATGCTATCAACGACAGATCTTTATTTTTCTGAAAATTAATCAAGAAATATTTGAAATGGGCTTTCAAAAGATGTTTTTTATTGTGGTCCAATGCCTGGCTTTGTAATCCTTGCGTGTAATTCAACTTTTGATACCACAAGTTTAACCACTTTGTTTCATAACGAAGGATAGCTTTGTCGTTCAATTCTCTATAGTTTTTTGAGCGTATTAGCCAAAAATCTTTGAAAGTTTTACACAAAATATCTTGGTCATAAAAGTTTGTTGTAGCTGATTCCAATTTATCAAGCTTTAGCTTTTTACTAAACCATCTTTTTAAAACTTTTTTCATTAGAATATTATCAGATTTCGGTAACCATTCATAATTTAAATTATATTCAAGCTGACTTATTGCAAGTGTCCTATAGTTCCATTTGTGAAAGATGCTATATTTTAATTTGGAATTCGAATAGTATTCACATATTGCCAATTTCATTACAGTTGTACGAGAAAGTTCTTCATGTGATAATGATTCCTTATTCAAATAAGTATGTAATTGATAGAATCGAAGGACAGTATCTCTTATGTCATATTCTTCCAGGGTAACATCCTCGTTCTCGTAATCAGTGATAGTATCGACTAAAGCGACGATGCTTTCAACAAAATCCATATCGTCTTGATTACGCATTTCTGGAAGCTCATGGTAAAGTAAATGCATATAATATTTCAAAATTAATGGAAAATTAATATTGAAATCAAAATTGAATTCATTTAATAAGGGAATGATATGTCGTAAATTGTTTACTAAAGTCAATTGATCTTCATTCGTATATGAGCCATGGAAAGATTTAAATTGTGTATGCATTTGTTCTGCTTCATCGTCATTATTCCACAGACCTTCTTTTTTCTCGCCATTATGCCATTTACCTACAACATTATCAGAAATTTGGGAATCAATGCCTTCCAGTTCATCATAACTTGAATAAATTTTATGATTTTCTGGCTGCATCAATTGATCGCTTGTTGTCCTATCTATCTCAGTATTAAATGCAAATCTATTCTCATAATACAGTTCCGGAAACATCACCATTTTTGTTATTACTCGCTTGTTGATTTCTTCAAATCGAGCTGGTAGTATAGAATCTTGGCTGGACTGACCACTTAAAAAGAAATTGTAGAAGTAATTGAATTTCAATTCTTTATATTTGAAATCGTTTATCTCCATTGTATCTATGTTACTAGATTTTTTATACAAGCTGATCATTATTCGTATATATTTGGAATAATCATTAAACGAAGATTGCGATTCTCTTTGAAATTTTTTGAATGATGATACTTGAAGAAATAACTGGTACAAGTTCGAAAAGTTCTGGTCATTACATTGAAAATTTAACGGTGAAGCACTAATACCTATGTGAGATGGAAATTCATTAGATTCATAACTAAAGATAGACGTATCTGTCAGTCTATTATCCTCGTTTACTTCTTTCTCTTCGAAACTCCTATTTCCAATAAATTCGTCTAGCAAGGAAACCATTTTTTCCGTATCATGGTCATCTAAATTCAAACCAGAATCCAATTTATCCTGCAAATTAGAGTAAAGGTTTAACTCATAGTTGAAGCACCGATTGATATAATATACTAATTTTTGCTCCGATTCAGAATGAAGCCTGAAAAAAAAATCCAAGAGCTCAGAAAATCGTACCAATATGGTGGAGAAAGATTCTTTTATTCTCTTTGGTTTCTTGTCATCTGATGTGGAATCGCTAAAGGAAAGGAGTTTGACCAATTGCTTGAGAACATATGACCTTGAGGATTTGTTGCTTATACCTTGATTCAGGTACGATTGGATAGCGGAGAAGATATTCAAGTTTGTGATTCGTTCTGAGTCGTAAGACGAACCTAACGAAGACTTATTAAGGTAATATAGTAATGATAACGACCCAATGTCGGAACAGCTTGGTGACACATTTAAATTTAGTTCGTAATAAAGTTTATCATGGTAATTCAATAATTGAAGTATACTCTGTATGGTTTCTTCAAGAAGTATTTCGTAGTTGGAACCAGTTTGAGTTGTTGGATATAAATGAAGTGTATGTAAGTCCTTAATTGTCTTATGAAGAAGTTCATTTAACGGAATATTAGACATGCTATACTGTATAGTTCATTTCCAGACTGAAGCACAATTCCGATGTTTAGACGTTTTTTCGGTATAAATCGAATGTATACGTTGTTTTGTAAACAGTGATCTAATAAATATTTTTATCTCGGATACAAAAATTGATTGCACTAAATTTAGAAGATATGATAATAATCTTACATATTTTTAATAAGTTGAACACAATATTTAAGGTCTAATATTTATTGGAAGAATATAGGCTTTCATTGGAATTTAGCGTACAATAATTCTAAATTTATTCTCCAAAAGTTATTCTTCTGTAACCGCATATTCATCACAATCAAGTTGCATCCTTATACTGGCTTCATACCTGAAACTATATCCAATCATTGGAGTAGTAAGCATGCTCATAAGCAGAGATCCGCTAGTCATGAATTTAATAGGGAGGGAAAAACTATGTATGATGATTCTGAATCAATTGCCAATATGGGTATGCCACCATCAACCCAAAATAGAATAGCCTCGGACGGCGTAATTTATTCGAATCAACATATATCAGGTTATATGATGCATCCAAATCGTAATAATGAATTTATTCCACATAACAATAATCTGGATAACTTTAATAATGATGGACGAAAATTGAGTCTACCTTATCCATCGAACGATAATTTTGGGACGTTTCTACAAGACGAGACATCCACTCCGAATAAACAGAACATACAAGTGACTACAAATAATTCATCATCTCCTATACAATCTGATCACAGGGATCCCAAAAGTTTTAGCTTTTCCGAACAAAATGACTCAATTCAAGAGTTTCAAGTTTCTCCCATAAAAGAGGACACTCCTCGCCTATCTCGTCACGCATTTGACGGGTTTCCCAGAGATGATGTGAGCAACGAAAACAGTAGATCTGCCCGTTCATATTCTCCACCTCCGAATTCATCTGGAAGTGACAATTCAAATGCTCTTGGACTGATTATAGGTGGTTATGATTATAGCAAGAGCTCCTTAGAACTAGCTTCGAAAGACAATGATAATAATAATCTTCATAATGATAGGAAACCTAATACATCAAAACAAAAAGACGATGATCCTACCGGCCAATTTTATCTAACTAATAACCCAATACAGTCTAATGAAGTTGATATCAATGTCAAAGCTCATAATAGAAATAGTTCAGAATCGTCAACGGTTTCAAATACATCTACCACATCTACTATAACACCTTCTACGATTAGTAAAGGTAAGAGGTTTGTTAGATATGCAATGAATACCCAATCCAAATCATCTATGACTAATACATCTACGAAATGGCATATTCTGAATGTGCTAAAATGGCTTGATTACTATGGTTTTAATAGTTCGTGGCAAGAAACTTTTCGTAGGAATGAAATATCTGGTAATAGGTTTCTAGAACTATGTAATTATGAAGTAGACTCCATGATTTGGAAGCAATTCAGTAAATACTTGGTCTTGGATAACGAAAATAATTCAATTGAAAGATTTATTGAATTACTAAAAGGACATCTTTCTACGTCCGAACCTGTGGATGATTATAATGCAAATAAAGAGTATCAAATGCAATCACATTCAAGAAAAAGCTCGAATGAATCTCATTTGTCTCCGGTTCTCCCTAATAATACTGCAGAAAATCGAAAATCTGTACCTATTTTTCACAAGCGTAAATCTGTATCAATACCGGCAACATATGGCTCCTCGACACTGAATAATAATATAACAACGTCTGGTAACCAGAGACCAGTATCATATGTAGACATAGGTTCCCAAAAACCAAATAAAGATTTGCAATCACATCACAAATTCTTTCGGAAATCCAAATCGTCATATCATGATACTTCTCAAGCCTATACCGGTATTAATAATTTATCGATAGCACCTTCTAACTACCATAATATAACTGGTCATAGAAAATCCAACTCAAAGACTTCTTTATCATTAAATGATGACTTTATCGTTGACTCGAATAAAATTAAATATACTGGGGCACCGCTACTCAAAACATCTAGTTTGCAAAACTATCCAACTCCAAGTACTGAAGCTAATCCAGCAACTACGTACGGTAAAAAGTCTGGCCTTTTTAGTACCTTAAAAAAATATGGTAGTGACAAGGCAGTGGGAATTGTTAAGCAAGTACAAAATACTTCTTCGTCATCTGCAACCAAAACCAGTGGAATAAATAAAAGCAATAATAAGAATATTGTATCTCCTGTTAGTCCTATGGAATTTCGAGAGCTTCTGTTACCTAAAGCTAAGCAAAATATTACTCAATCTAATGCTCAACAAGAGAGTGCAAGCACCACCACTACCACCACCGACAACATAAATACTAAATCGATAGCTATGTCTAGCGACGAGACATTGCCTTCTTCCTTAATGAATTCGTCAGCCAAGGTGATCAATTTCAATAATAATACTTACATAGATCCGATAAAGAAGGTAGATTTACTTGATGATCTTGATGAAAAGTATTTTCCAACATTAAATGATAACTTTATTGATAAAAAGATGATATTGGCTAGCAAAGATAATAAACATTTCACGCCTATCAATTTGACAGGTGAGGAAATCAGAAATATAGAGTTAATCAGAAATAGAATAATTCAAGAATTAGAACTAATTGATGTTGGAATTATTACCTTTCATTTAACTGAATTTAATTCAACTGAAGGTATGGCTCTTAAGGATGATGTTTTATTGAATGTTATTCGTACAGATATACTTGTAAAGCTCTTCGTAAATCAAGAGCTCTCTTCCGATACTACCACAACATTTTCAACTACATCTTCCGATTCGAAATCTTTTGAACTAATCGGTGAAAACAATGATGAAAGAAGTTATCCAAGCACGCCGCAATATCTCTTACAAAATGCGAGAGACCCAAAGGTAGATTATTGGAACTTTAAGGACACCAACAATGATAAGCTTTCTAGTATAACTGAAATAAATTCCACCAGAGCCGGAAGAAAATCACCTTCGAATCCCCAATTTTCTATGAAGCTACATTTACCTGAGAATAAGAAATTTTCACAAGACAGTAAACCACCATCACTACTGATAAATACGACGCAAATTGACAATGCCCTGCCATCTCTATCGCCGAATTCATCTAAATTGAGTGACGGTCAGAACTCATTTAAGATTTTAAGGAAAGAAGGTCGTGAAATAGACTTTGATAAAAGAAGGAAGTCCCCATATGAATCAAAAGCTCCGAAGTTGATACCAAATATTTACTCGTCATCGGTCTCTAATCCCTCAAAATCTCCAATTTCAGCAACTACAATAGCAACATTAAAGGATGAAAATGTAGAGGGTAACCGCAATAACTTATCTCCTAGTATATCATCTGGATCAATGGATAGGGACAAATCTGGTAGTATTGTTGCCAAAAGAATTGCTCCTCCACCACCGCTTGACAGAAAGCTGAGTGCAATGGGATCCCATTCGTTAAAGAAAGCCTCAATACTGCCTTCCATTTCAACACTATCAAAAACACTGTCTTATTCTAGTCGTTCTACTAGTGGCAGTGAAAAGTCAATGGGTTCACGGAAAGTGTTCAATAAAAGAAAAGGATCCACTTCCAGCAAAAATTCGTTCGTAACAGATGATTCATTTGCTTTTAGGGAAAACGATGTATCATTTGACGATGTTCCTACATTACAAAGAGACAATAATGCTTCATCTGATGATGAAGACTTTTTCGTCAAACCAATTAAGAACCAAAAAAGTAATGTTAATGATGATGATGATGAAAGTGACGAAGATTTTTTCATGAAGCCTATAAGGCCGCCTGATTCGGATGCACAAAAAGACACGCTCAAAAGGCGTACGTTAACGGATCCTATCTCGATAAGAATGAAAGTAAGACCTCCTGTGGAAGAAGTCTATAGGAATCTTGAGAAGTATTTCCCTAATACCAACTTAGATAAGCCAATCATAGATGATTCGCCCATATCGCCTGTTAATAAGCATTCGCCGTCAATTGAAGCGTCAAATGCTATTCCTATGAGGAAACCAACGATTTCAAGAACTTTTTCTAATGCAAATATGTCACCAGTCCATCCTAAATTAGATTCTGGAGATGAAATTTTGTATGCTGAAAATCAAGAGCCTACATTAAGCCGCCGTCGCATGAAAACTATTCGTGTTGTTGCAAATGAGGCACGTAAAAAGAGGTTAGAAAGACAAAACTCGCCTCAAGCTGGTAGATCTTTAGAATCATCATATCGCAATACCCCCAATTCAGGTAATTTCAATTCATTAAATAGGACAAATACAAAATTATGGGGCCAAAAGGTTGTTGAAGTCACATCCACTGAGATTGAGAAAGGTTTTGTTAGCAAATTGAAAAATGGAAAGCACGGTGAATTTGAAGAATTTGCTTGGATTAAGGGTGAATTAATTGGTAGAGGCTCGTTTGGTGCCGTATATTTAGCGTTGAATGTCACAACTGGTGAAATGTTAGCGGTTAAACAAGTAATTGTTCCTAATGATTTTCAGAATGGATCCCCTAAAGTGTCTGAAGGAATTGATGCGTTGCATAAAGAAGTTGAGACTATGAAAGATTTAGATCACCTTAACATTGTTCAATATTTGGGCTTTGAGCAGAAAGAAAACATTTATAGCTTATTCTTGGAATATGTTGCTGGTGGTTCAATAGCATCATGCATGAAATCGTTTGGAAAATTTGAAGAGCCACTTATCAAGTTTATAATTAAGCAAGTTTTGCTTGGTCTAGAATACTTGCATTCGAATGGTATTTTACATCGTGATTTGAAAGCTGATAATTTGCTCTTAGAGATCGATGGAACATGTAAAATATCCGACTTTGGCATATCTAAAAAGTCCAAGGATATTTATGTGAATAATGCTGAGATGTCCATGCAAGGAACAGTTTTCTGGATGGCACCAGAAGTTATTGATAGTATTGTTGCTGATAAGAAGCAAGGGTATAGTGCTAAAGTAGATATTTGGTCATTAGGATGTGTTGTACTAGAAATGTTTGC